TTATTTACCTTTGTCTTCTACTCTTTCTAATTTATTCCTTATCTTCATAAATAACATTTCAAAAACTTTTTTAACTTTTATAATTATAAAATTGTAAATCTTCTCATCAGTAATTTTTATTAAATATTTAAAATGTTAGAAATTATATAACATAAAATTTAATTGTAAATTTGATAACAAATTTAATTGCAAAATTATATATGTAAATCATACTTAATTTATTATATTTTTCCTTCAAATTTAATTGCAAATCTGATAAATAATTTTTTTAATTTCAATTTAACATTTGTAGCGGTTCTTAAACAGCTAGAAAGGACAAATAGCTACTGCAAATTCCTACTGGCTAGTAGGGGTGTTCATGAAGCCCGATTGCCTGCTATGCCCGTCCAAGCCTGCAAAAAAATTGGCCCGAAAGAACTATTGGGCATATTCAGGCTGGGCAAATTGTTGGGCAGGGCTGGGTATCGGGCACGATATGCTGCCCTGCCCATTTGGCTCTGCCCGCAAAAATATATATAATTTTTATTTATATATTTTATTTGCCTCATATTTCTTTTTTCAAATCAAACTCACTGTTGCATCAATATTCAGTGTTTATTATACTTACTTATTTTTGAATGATTTTGAGAGTTAGAAACTAGAAAAACAATTAAGTGTAATAAAATATACAAACATTTTTTTTGTCATAGTCCACTCCTCCTAGCTACTACAAAAAGTAGTTTCATAGGATATTAATTAGCAATAACAAAATCAAGGCTAAGTTGCCATTTTAATATAAAGTTACATTAGATTATTCAAAGGAACATAAATAATTAGTTAATTAATATAGTATATTGACTTGTTAGGCATAGAGGCCCGCCCTGCCTAGCCCGTATTTGCCCAGCCTAAACTCAATAGGGCTTTTCATGGGCAGGGCCAGGCAACGGGCTACATTTTCCAGCCCGTTCATTCTTCGGGCTGGGCATCAGGTAAGGGTCCTGTCCTGCCCAATCCTGCTCATGTGCAACCCTACTGGCTGGCGCCATTTTTTGAAAATTTTCCCATTTGTAGTGGTTAATTTTGCTGTCAAATTGAATTTTTTGGTTCCTGTTAGATGAACTTTTATGCCCATCATTAGTAGCGGTTTAATAAACTACAACAAATTTGCAAATTTTATTTCCCACATTTACACATGCCTTTGTAGCTGTTTTCTAACCGCTACAAACTACCTCAATATCATCTCATTCATTGCATCATTACTAGTAGTTATATAGTTGCGACAAATATCTGTAGCGGTTTACTATCTTGCGTAACAGTTTGGAAAACATGCTACAAAACTATTTGCATCAGGGGTTTTTTTAGCAGTTTTAATAACCGCTACAATTGGCACTTACAAATCAATCATTTTAACCGCTACAAATTACCTTTTTCTTGTAGTAACGGATGTTTATCATAATTAACATTATTATCATTTTTACACCCATTTTAAATTTGCAAAAGTAGATTTATACCTAAGAAAAGTAGATGGTATTTGGCACACATTAAGGATAAGTTAATGGGTAAATTTACACCTTAACCATTTATTTTATTATATATTTTTAATACAAGATAGAAATCTAGAATTGACAAATATACTTGCATGCGAACATTTCTTCGCCAATCAATTTGCAATGAAGAAGTTGGCAATGAAAAGAATTTGGCTGCTAAATTCCGTCCATAATCATCTATTTGTTTTTTATTGTAAAATGTGAGGTCGTGCTTTACATATGGAATTAGGAGTGAGCTGAATACTGATATCTTGTCTATTGCTTTACATATGGAATTAGGAGTGAGCTGAGTTAGGAGTATTACATATAGAAGAGCCTGAGACACTTTCATAACCCCTTTTGGCCATTGAAAATCCATAAAAGAATCAAAAACCTCAAAACTCAAATTGATTCCCAAGTTATTATCCACTTGATAAATCTTGAATTTGCGGTCACGTATGAAAAGTCATAATTAGATCTAAAAAAATCAGAATAAAGTGGTTCAAGTCTCTAATTAAAGCTCTTTAACTTATCTATAAGTGAAAAATACAACTGAGCTCATTATCTTTCCCTCTTTTCCCACAAGATCCTCGGGAAAATTACTGTTCATTTGCCAGAACTGCAATTCCGTATTTTTTGGCTTATGATTGAGAAATCATATTTTTTAAAATCCAAATCCAAATTGCATGCTCTGGGACTCTATCTGAGAGCATTTATGACAAATATTAAACTCTCTCTCATAAGCGGCAAGTGTGGGAGCATTTCTGTGTTTATGCTCCCATAAGTCCCTTTTTTTTAATTAAAACAAAGTTCTACAGCCAATGAACAAGGACAAACAAGACTCAATATAGCAAATTCATCCAAACATAGACATTGATTCCATCGAACTCTTGTATATATATCAAATAATTAAATCCAAATTCTTTAGTTAGTTATTCTTTCACCGACTGATATATCTCTATTAAACTTCATTAACTCTCATTTAAAATTTAATGACTTTCTAACTTTATCCCTATTTAATATACATTATACTTCATATAAACAAAGTCAACACAATAATAAATGAGGGATAAAATTGTACATACATATAAAAAATTTCTCTTAGTGCCCTATAAATAGGACTAAAAAATAACTTTTCTCTCTACCCTATAAATAGGACCAGAGGAGTAACTACTTGAAACACATACCATTGTTGAGACAGATGAAAGGACATCATTGCTGCGATCAATGAAGATGATACATGGATGCAATTCAGCGAACTGATGAAATATTATTCATGCAAAACATGAAAACAGAACTAGAAGGAAATTATTCGTGTGTGTTTGTATGTTCCCGTTCTCTTAACGCAATAGATATAGCAAGAAATGTTGGAATATTTTTAAAATGAAAAGATGTGTTTTCAGAAAAGTTATATTCTTATATAAATTTATATGAAGTGCTGTGCAGAGAGTTACAACTTTAAAAGAAATGTTGGTTTCTTTGGTTTCTAAAGACATCAATGAAAACGCGTGACAACGACCACTTTGTGAAATGTTGTGCTATTTTTTAAGGAAATCCTATATATTAAAAGGGTGTAATCCTTTATGAAAAAATTACTAAATAAGTAAACCTTTCGTTATTTAAGTCACATTGGTTTATAAATCGGTTACAACTGTTAGTTAAAGAAGTATTGCTTCAAGAAGCATTTCCTCAAGACATCACTTCATGGTCTATAAATATAATACTCCTCGCTTTTATTTATTTAAAACATCCAACAACACATTACTACAACAAAATCAAACTCATTGTTTTTGTCTTTAAGTGCATGTAAAGATAAATACAATTTATCACTTTGTAAAAGTCATTGTTGTCTTAATTTGAGTATTAATAGTGTAATTTATATTCAAGGGTCTCCATTTTATCCTTAAAAAAAATTTCCATTTAACCCAACTTACATCTTATAAGATAAGGATATGAGGAGCGAATTAAGCGTAAAGTAAAATGTTCTCTATGGCTTAAAAACATCATGCACTGCTTTTTTCTTCTTCTCTTCTCTTACTCTTTATAGAAACATTCCTGCCAACAAGACACTCCCACAACTCCATGTCTTTTGATGCACAAGCTATCCTCTACAACATTTTAAGAAAGAAGCATGTTAATGGCTGGATGGCGTGCTCTGCACGTGGCCTCCAGAGGAATTACCTTTGGCATGGTGGCTCCTGCTCCTTCTGTCATGTCAATTTCTTCCTCACTTACTCGTTTCCATTCAAAGCACTTAATCAACAATTCCAAAGTCAACCCCACTGTTCGTTGGGCTAAACTTTCTCCAGGACATGCTCCTCTTCCCAACCCAAATGTAATTAGCTTGTTTGCTTCTCCTTCTTTCTCAAATCTCTCTGGCTTAAAACTTGTGGGATCACTCCACACTTGGGGATCTCTATGGATGGCCCAAGCATTGATTAACACAATAGTTCCGTGCGGAACATTGTATCCTGCAATGGTGCAATCATTCGAAGCCTCGTGTTAATTCAACAATGATGCTGCAGTATGTAATCGAAGTGTTTCAGAGACGATGCTTTGTACGTACGGTAGTTTTGAGATGTCTCGCTTATCGATTAATTTTTCTTGCCTTATATGAGTGTCTATTTCTTTTTTCGCTTTCTCCAATACATGAGGATTGTTTAATAAACTAGATATTGCCCATTCTAAAGTTACAGCTTAAGTATCCGTTGCAGCAAAGACCAGGACCTATAAGTCAAAATTAACAAAGTAAAATCAGTTAATACAAATTTTATATTCAATTTTAGACTAAATTTAGTGAGTGGTCACACAATTAGCATTTTGAAGTATATAGTATATTTTGCGTTATTCTGCAATACAAGGAGAAGTCAAATTCTTAATTACAAGCTGAGCCGCCTATTTCGATAGATATTTCCCTTTCCCTATTTACTTAATCCTTTCACAATATAGTATTAATTGAATATGTGCAATAACATCTTTAACTTTTAAAATTTAATAACAAACCCCTAGCCTTTCGAACCTACGCATAACTTTAAACCAATCAATTTTATACCCCTTAAACTTTAAATTTTTATATTCATATGTAACCCCCTCACTTAGAATTATATGCATATAAACCCCTAAACTTTAAACCATTTGCAAATAAATAATGAAAAAACTAATAGCATGAAAATTATCTACATAAATATAAAATTTTAAGGAATTATTTACATATGACATAAAGTTCAAGAGAATTTTTGTATAATTTATAGCCCTTTTTTCTTTCAACTTCTTCCATAATTAACCATCATAAATTTAGAATGAGGCAGATACTGAGCATACTCTGTACTCACTCAACTTCAACATAGGTTGCATGCACGTCTTATAATACAATGCAATCAAAAGATATCTAACTGCATGCAGTAAAAAAGGTAAAAGCGTAACATTATTTATTATTTCACTTACCAAAATGAGGTCTTTAATAACCTGATCCGTATAGTACCCAGGCTGTGATTCTTAGAGACTGAAAAGATGGTCGATCATAGTATTTGCTCTCTGCTTTGCATTTCGATGCTCATCAATGAGACCTTGCAAGAGACCATCGGCTCTCTTGGCAAAACCCTTGAGCCTCTTCTCCAAGTGACCAAAATCAAACCACCTGAGTATGGTCAAGAAATCTGCTATGTTATTTACCCCTCCTAGAGGCACCAGTTGTTTTATAATCTCTCGAATCTTTCTTGCCTCTTCCACATCCCCAACCTCATTGTCGTCTCCCCAGTACCTTTTTCTATTGTTGAAGGTCAACTTATAAAATCTTGATTTCATCTCCACTTTGGCGAACACCGTATTATTTGAGTCTTGAACAAGTTTTTGCACCAGGCGCTTCACCTCGTCTCTTCGCATTTCCAAGAATTTGTTGAGACGGTGGTTCGAGAGCACCTCTTCCACCGTGATACGGCGGAGGTTGCGCCAGTGGTCGCCGTAGGGAGTGAACATTAAGGTGGTGGAGTTGTAGCCAATATGCTCACCGAGGAGAACGCGAGGTCGGTTTGCCAGGACGATGTCTTTTTTGGTGAAGCATTCTTGGACTGCAGAAGGCAATGACACAACGATCACGAGACGAGAGCCAAACCAAACAGAAAAGATTTGGCCATAACGTTGAGAAATCCGGTGAAAGGCGTGATGAAGTGGCTTTTTCAGTTGGTGGAGGTTGCCGATAATGGGAAGAGAAGGTGGACCAGGTGGGATGTTTTTGAACTTCTTATTTTGAACGAAGAGCTTGAGAGTGAAGAAGAAAGCAAGAGAAAGAAGGAAATAACAGAACAAGAAGGTGATCATCATTGTTTGGTTCTTCTCTTTTGTGGAGTACTTTAGTGATCCGAATGGATTTGAGTCATGGAGACGTGTTTTGGTGTCGTATATATATAGCTGATGACCTTGATTGACGAATCGTAAGAACCCGTTGATTAAAATCTCATCGGGGTCCTCTTTTTTTTAAAAAAAAAAAAATTGTACACAATTAATCTGAATAAGATCCGACTATTGATTAATAATCATTAAATAAAGATAAAATAAAGTGTCATGTAAATATTTTTAGCAGTGGTATATTGTAGGTGTGGGGCAAAGGGTTATAATGCGCTACTCTCTAATACTCTTTATAATGCAGATCTTAAAAAATTATTAAAAAATTCAAAACGACATCAATTTATATTAGTAAGATATTAAAATATTATTAATTTTATATAATAATAAAATTAAAGAAACATTTAAAAAGTTGGGATGTTATAAAAATATTTCCAATAAGCTGTTAATTGAAATAGTAAGCAATCTCACCCTTGTAATGAGGAGAATACAAATTCGAATCCCAAAAAGTATACTTGTTGATAGGACTTGAAAATACTTTGAATTTACACCAAAAAAAGGTATATTAAAGAGTGAGGACATTAAATATAGTTTATCCAATTTACTTTATCCAATTTTTATTATAAATTTCAAATAACTAATTTGTGAATAATAAACAATTAGTTAAATGCAATAAATAGATTGGAAATACATTTTTATTCTTAAATATGCCCTTATAATAAATAGTGACAATATTAAAAACCATTGCAGAGGGTGGTCAAATATTATTAGAAGTTTCAAATAACTAATTCGTGAATAACAAGCAATTAATTAAAAGCAATAAATAGGTTAAAAATATATTCTATTCTCAAATATGCCCTTATAATAAATTAGAAAAAAGATTAAAGAAAATGTGTGAAAAAATGTTATAAGAGAGAGTATGACAAATGAGAGAGAATAAATAATTAAGAACAAAATTTAAAAATACATTAATTGTTAAAACAAACTCAAATTGAAATTTATAAAATGAATCACACTCCTTTCAAATTTAAAACTTATAAGTTGAGAGGGAGTTCATGTTAATCCTTCGCCCCTGCTGAGAGTGGTCAAATATAATGTTAATTCTTCATCAGCTTTTGTCGTGGCTGGACGGCGTGGTGATTGGTGCTTGAGAGTAAGCAAAATTTGTCTATTTCTTCTAATTATGTCGTTTTCGTTATCGTTGGGTTATTGAATGCAGATTTTGCCAATGGATTTATCTGAAAGTAGTGCAGAGTTGATGTAACTCAACAATAATACAATATATACGTTGGCAAACTTTTCTTAACACTGACACATCGGCTCATGATGAAGACGAGGGTCATGCATGTGCTCATATTGATCGAACTGACTATATAAATTTTTAAGTTTCATATTAAATAAAATTTATGGGCAAAATTAACCCCTTAACTTGTTCCTTGGAGTTTTGGCTTTGTTAGTCAAGAATCAATTCAGTTCTTACGACTTTAAATTGATAATGTTTAAGGAAGATTATATCAACTTTGTGAGATCTAAGTAATTCATTTGACTTTCTTCTTCTTCCTTTTATTTAAATTAAAATAAAAGTCTTCTCATATACTACTCTTTTAAAACAATAACTCAAACACGCTCCCATCCAAACTATTTAAACAGCTGTTAGCTTACATTAAGAAGTAGATGAGTACTCAATAAGAACTAATCTAATTAATAAGGAGTCGATTTATAATATATAAGATCATAAATTCAAATTTCGCTGATAATATAAGGATCACTTTACTACTGAGTGATTTATAAATATCTGTATAAATATTTTTTTAGAATAAAATATGCCATAACTTTCGTGAGTCCCAAAACTCAATTCGCGTGAACGTTTTGTTCAGGAAAAAAAAACAAGAAGCAGCAGCGGACAAGTAATAAGCAATATAACAACGATGCGTCACCTTGGTCCGCACTACGTTCCAATGCATGTGGATCTGTCGCTGGCCAATGATCAGACCGAGCAGACCGCCGAGAGGTCTGCCCAGTCACTTATTTATCTATTACTGAATCTATCAATTTCTTAAAAACTGCATCTAAATTGTTTTGATTCTCAGTTCAAGAAGTGTACCTAATGATATTTTGTATTAAAAAATAGTTAATATAATTTTGATTCTTTAAATTTATACTCATTAATTTTGGCCCACAAATTTCAAATTATAAATTTTGGTCTTTCAAGTTTTATTTCATCTTAAATATTAATCCTTATAATTTAATAAAAATCTAGATTATTTTATTTCTTATGGGACTGAAATCAAAATGAGTGTAAATTTGAGGACCAAATCTAAAAGAATTCGTTAGATTTGAGGACCGTCAAGTTCACATAGCCTAGCTGGTTGCTCTATGTGGATATTACCTATAGCATAATCAACAATTAATTAAAGTGGCTAAATTCCATCAAAATATTGATAATATATTGACGCATAAAACTTGTCAGATTACAAGACATTATTTAATAAACAAGATTTTTCGTTGCCCATTCTAGAGTCACAGAAGCTCATAATTTCAGTTTCAGCAAGAAGCATAACCTATAAGTCAAAATTATCATATCAAGGTTAAGGTTAAGATGTATCTAATACCTTAAAATATTTTTTTAATAACTCAATGTTTTAAACTAATTTATGATTAATCCAGCATCCTAAAGTAGCATTTTTTAGTACTACAAAAAAATTGACTTTCAGCGGCGACAAAAGTCGCCGCTGAAGTATAAAAGTTGCCGCCGAAAGTCTTTGCGGCGACAAGTCGCCGCTGAAAAGTCGTTGCCGTAGCAACCGTGGCTGAAAACTTTCAGTGGCGACTAAAAAGATCGCCGGTAAAAGATACTCAGCGGCGACTTTTTGTCAACGCTTTGAAAGTAATGCCTAAGAAGAATTGGCTTTTACCAATGCCCGTCATCACCGCCGGGCCACGTCATCGTTCCGGCCGCCACGTCATCACCAATGACCTCCACGTCATCGCCATTGGCAGCCACGTCATCATGCTGACCGCCACATCATCACTAGCCACCTCCAGTCATTGCCACGTCACTCTTCCTCGCAAATCATCGTCTAAATATTTTCACCTTAAGTGTCTTCTTCTAGGTTCGAACTCGTGACCGCCTCCTTTCGTTGTCCAACCTTCTTGCCGCTGAGCCAGATGAATTTGTTTATTATTTGTAAAATAAAATATATATATTATATTATACTTTCGGCGGCGACTTAAAAAGTCGCCGCTGAAGGTCCACTTTGGCGGCGACAAAAAAGTCGCCGCTGAAGGTCCACTTTCAGCGGCGACACTTTTGTCGCCGCGAAAGTTTGGTTTCAACAGCGACTTTTTTGTCGCCGCCGAAAGTGGACTTTCAGCGGCGACTTTTTTAGTCGCCTGAAAGTCGTCGCCTAAAGTCTTTTTTTTTGTAGTACCAAGTACTAAATATTTTTATACAATTTTTCCTTTAAAATATTTTTTAGTTTTAAGATATTAATTCTAATAGAAAAAATCTTTAGAGTGCTGATCTACGAAAAATTACTGAAAAATATTATAGGATGTTGGGTGTTATTAGAAAGATATTTGAATGTGCTACATCAACTACAAATTAATTTAGAATACTAAGTGTTCCTGAAAAAAAATACTTCATGGGATAAATGCAACTTAATCCAAATTAACAAAAGCAAATTTTATGCTGGACATTAGAATAAATTTTGTGAGTAATTATACCATTAGGAAATGAAACCAACTTGATTGAAAACCTGCATGCAGTAATACAGTAATACATGGAGAAGGTGAAATCTTAAAAACGATCAAAAGTATAAGCCTTTCGAGTTTGATTCGAACTGGAATTCATGTTCAAGTTTTTGTATATATAATGATATAAAGATCATAAATTTTATATTTTTCATTAAAGACTAAGGTCCCTATTTAGAACTTATTTTTTTAATTGACGAAAATGACCGTCCTCTTTGATTTTTCAGTACCCATCTTCAATTATTATGTTTTTAGTACTTATTAACTTTTATCATTATTTCAATTCTCATTTTTAGTTGTTTTAGTATTCAATTTTTCATGATACTCAAATTTTAAAATCTCATAATTAATATTTGCATGCTAAAAAGTTTAGAGTTCAGTACTAAAAGATTGTGTAGTATGTGTGCAGAGTTTTTTTTTTTTCCTTTCTTTTTTTGACCTGGTAGTATGCATAGAGTTCAATGCGCATCATTTAGGATTGAAGGTAGTAATATTTTGTTTAAATATTCCGGTCAAAAAAATAATATTTTGTTTAAATAGAATATTGGGGGCTTCGGGGTTGGGTGGGGATGTCCCCTGTATGACTATCTTGTTTTGCAGCTTCGTGTACAAAAGGTAAGGTGCTCAGTTTTTTTTTCTTTTAATTAGCATTCAGTGTTATGGAATATTTTTCAGTAACATTTCATCATTTTTAACTATTTTTGAAGAACCACTCAATATCTTAAAATAATTTTTGATAGAATTTTATACTTTTAAAGTATTTTTTAATAGTAATGATCAGCTTAAACTTATGATACCAAGTACTCTTGATAATTTTAGAAAGTTGGATACACTAAAAATTATTTTATGATACTGTTACTAAAAATTTATTTTTAGGTGTTAAACGCACAAAGATTTATTTTAGAACATTAGTTGATAGTGAAAAATATTTCAGAATAATGAAATCTACTTAATCAAAAAAAATTTAGAATATTAAATGCTACTAAAAAAAATATTTAAGATATTAGATGTATAAAAAATTATTATTGAGTAGCACTAAAAAATAGTTTTTACTTGGAAAATGCTTTAAGAGGTTGGAATGTTGGGTGTTAGTTTTTGTTTTTTCCCCCTCCATTAAAAAAGGCTGAGCACCATTCCTTGCAGCAGAGAGAGCTCCGCCCGATTTTTGGTACAAGCCGCTCTATGACTGTGACTGAGTTGGGCCTCCACGTCAGGTCCAGTCCAAT